TCAGTTAAGTGCCAATAAACACTTGGGCAATCATGTCTCTTTCAATTCATGACTGACTAGGCAGAAGATTTTCCCCATGGTAGGTTGCTGTTTCATATACTGGTTGCCAATCAATCCATAATTTGGGGAGGGGGAAAGAGATGGATTCCTACCTTTCCCCCAAGTGTATTTGCACATTAGTGAAAGTAACAAACACAACTGGAATATCCATTACAACACACCATTTTTTTATCAATATAATAAAGTTGTATAATGAGATATATTTGTAAAAATACAGAGCTTTATAAATATCCATGTCTAAAAATTCATCTAAATCACATAAAAGTGAATTCAACTTTTATCAAATTTATACCATTAAAAAGAAAATTACAGAATATTTTGATATAAAATTATTTTTACTCAATATAAAGAAATGGTGATATCTGATTGAAAATCTTTTTCTCAGTTGTTAAACATATTTATGAATGAAAAATCAATAAGAACAAATTGAATGCGTGATATGCTTGAATTTTTAAAATTTGTGGAAATTCACCTATTAAAATTTAATAAAACTTTGTTTTCATTGCATCATTGAATAAATTTATTAATTAAATTGTAAATATGTTTGTGTTAACCCTTATTATAAAACCTCAGTGAATAAACTTTATATTTTAAAAGATAGATAATCCTTTGGAGAATTAAAATCAGTTTGATTAAAATAGACTAATGTAATAAATTGCTTTGGCAATTTTTTTTAGTTTTATTTAAATTATTTGACTTTTTGTAAGTAAAAAGTAAACAATATAGTCACATTAAAACTTTTTATAAATATTTTAATAATATTTCTTTAAATTAAAAAAAAAATTCTTTAAAATTGTTTTCTTCTTTTGGCTTTGTGTTTGATATGTAAATAATAAATATTGATAATTAAGAAATAAAAGAATTCCACAATAATTATTGTCATCATCAATTTCCACTCTCATAAGAGTAGGTAGAGTCACCTATCTTCACAGTTGGCATAGTCAATGAGTTTGAAGATGGTCTGTAAGGCCAATTCTTGCCTGGAATTGGCAAGGCTAATTAAAACAGGCAATTTTTCTTGGAGAATGAGGCATCACTGCCTACCATCTTCACTCTTATTTCTTTTTTTGAATATAGCTCCTTCTCTGAATTTCAAAGTAGACTGAATCCTAAATGCTAATCCTCCAATGTTTTCAGTCCATGGCTTTTGCTTATCAGGTTTGGTCGTCTAACCCAGCAACCATTAGTGTTCACTTGTCTTGGTCTTTGTACTGGCACTTTGGTTATCTTCACCATATAAGACAAAGCAGAATCAATTGGTCTATGCACTGGACATGCAACACAAGCAATGTCTGATCATTATGCTATGCACAGGTTGTTTGTTTGTCTTCCTAGCTTATGTTCAGGATCAATAATTATTATCTATTATATCTACAATAGATTGTTTCATTAAGGTAAAAATTTAGAACATGCTGAAGCTCTATTATGCAATAACAAGATCATTTCCTCTTGGACAATCATAGCTGGTCATTATGACATAAATTTCTCTTGATTACCTGTAGTAAGAAATACTTGTAATTTTATGTTAACTGATATTTTATTTTTAAACATTTTTGTAATTATTTAATGAAAATGTTTTGTGTCATTTAAGAGCAATTGGAAAGAAAAAATGACACAAATCAATTACATTTGACCTAAAATAAGAACCATAAATTTATAATGAAATATGGTATTTTTATAATAACTTCAGATGTTCAGTACAATAGTTGGATGTAGACGAGAAGTCCACATATTAATTGAAACTCTTCTATATTACCTGGAGGGTTATGGGCATGGGTTTATTGAAAAAGAAATGCTTTGTTTAAGACATGCAAAGTGAATAAACAATTGTGCATTAAAACAGAATCCAGTCTGGTGAATAACAAAAATAGGTGTCCATTTCTGCATGATGATGATGTCCACCCTCAGAAAATATAAGTATTTCAATTGGTACCAGTTTGACTTATTTTGTAGTAATTAGCAAGAAATAAGATAGCTCAAATTATTTTCATCTTAATCGAATGAGGAAAAAAAAAAAAAATGTATAGAGGCTGACAGCAATCATTTTCAACAATACAAAAATCAATGATTTTACATTTAATGAAAATAAAAATTGATTTTTTTTTCTAATAATCAGAGAAGATCAGCAAATGAAGAACTAAAACATCAAGTAAAACTGTATCGGATTCCCCAAAAGATTATTGCGAGTTGTTTAATGAACGAGGAGCATTTTGATAAATTATATTTTCTTTCAAAATGACCAAACAAGATACAAAAATATATAAACCAATTTGAAATAGCACATTGAAAACATCACCCTACTTTGGTGAATAGAAAAGGTGTCAATTTTTCAATTATGACTACATTCAAGATGAAAAAACAGTATAAATAAAATTGAATCAGTTGAAGATGGAGATTTAATTAAACTCTACCTATTCATTCAATCTGTCTTTAATGGAATTCTATTTTGTCAAGCAACAAGATTATATTCTTATAGATGAGAACTTCTCTCAATAAAATTAAATCTGCTTTTAATGAATTTATCTGTTCTTTAAATGACAACTTCTTTAAAAAGTCAATTGACAACTTACTGCAAAAATGAAATCAATACATCAACAGATAATGATTTGAATAAATGTTTTAATTTATTTTGTTGAAATAAATTAGCAATTCCATGACGAATAATCAGATATTTACAATGCTTTGTTTTGCCTATTCTGGCACAAGGCAAAAAGAGTGGAGTACTCAGTAAAGATCAGTTTCAATAGTTCTGTGAGATGATGTCATTTTTCAATCCAGGTAGCCAAAGCTATCTGGATTGAATAATCAAGTCGAAAGATACAAGTTTCCTAGGTAGAACTTATAAAAAAAAAAATCATTGTACCATAGAATAGGGCTTAAATTTGATAATAGCAATAAAAAAAAAATAGATTCATTTCAGTGCTAGCATAATACATGATTTTTTTTTAATAAGCAACTCAGGATTCTGACTAATACTGAGGTTGCTTAATTTTTTTATGCTTGTGTCTGTAAAGTTGCTGAAGATGATTATTTCCCTTTTTACAGGATGAATTTACTAACATCCTAGGGGTCATGTGACCATGACAACAGCCCATTGGTAACAATAATCAGTTGGTTTTTAACATACAGCTTAAATAAGGAACATTAAAATATCCCCCATGGTGGCCATGTCTTTCCAAGAAACTTTCTTCCATTGTGTTAAGGTATTAGTATATCATGGATAAACTAATGCCTAATGTGGGTCCTGGAGCATGGAGAAAAGCAAGATATTTCTTCTCTCTTTCTAAATAACCACATTAGGTCTAATAAATAGAAAAGAAATACATTTTAATGTAACTAAACTAGTAGAAATTCCTGAATACAGTACAAAATAACATTTAGTAAATCTTTTTTGTTTAATTTTTCAGATTTTGTTTTTCTTTGCTTTTTAAGTTATTTGAGCCACACTGACATCAGTAGTGGAGTTGCTTAAGATTTAGTCAAATTTTAGTACAGTTACTTATAAACAACTGCTTATAAAAAATTGTGTATCTGTCAAAAGTTAAAAAAAAAAAAAAAAAAATGAAATTATTTACATATACATTTGCCTAGGATCAGTGTAGTATCTGTGCACTGTGAAAAGTGGCATAGATTCACACCAAAAAAAGAATGTATATGATACACAGTGTATTTATTTTATATGAATAATATTCAGCAAGATAGAATGACTAATGATGAACAATGGCTGACATGATCAGGGAACATAAATCAGTTAATAACAAAATGAAATTAAATGAAGACAACATATTGCCAATCATATGACCAAATAAATACACATAAATCACAATGTACCGAAATACAACCAATGAAACATTCAGCAAACATTTTGTGTTCAGGGTTTCCTGCTTTCAAGTACCCAGCAGTTTACGACATGTCACACTGAAACATCAGTTCTCATAATCACAAAAGTTAAGCAACATCGAGGCTAGTCAGTAAATAGATGGGTGACCACTTGGAAATACCATGTATTGTAAATATGGATGTATGGAAGGTGTAATGGATAATGGCTCAGAATTGGAAGTCAAAGAGCAGAGTTCCAATTCGAATCAGGTTTGTTATGTTCACTTACACACAAATATCTTTAAGAAAGGTATGAATCCACCTCTTCTCACCCCAGATATGGGTTAATTAGTAGGATTTGTATCAGTAAATCATTATTATCTAAAAAAAAAAAAAATTCTTACAAACTAAAAATATTTTCTGGTTTTAAATAAGTTGCAAAAGGTATATAAGCCATAAAAATATCAATAAATCATTGGACTGCATCAGTGGCCTGCATCACAGCTATTGCAGAGAGAAGAGCAAGCACTCTAGTGACTTCATATTTTCATTGGGGTGGGGGGCTACAACTAAGATACTAAGTCAGATGACTTATCAATTAACCTTGGCCTCTTTCACTTGTTTTGTACTATTCAAGCATCTTTTGCACCATTTCTATGTCACCATAAAGATTGTAATATCGTTGCGGTCTTTAAATAACCTGCAAATGGTTGATAAGCCATAAAAAACGATCAAGTATTGAATATTTTAACCTAGGGTGACATGAAAATACACATAAGTATTGAAATTAAACACCATTATTTTTCTTTTTTTTATTATGAATACCAAATTTAAGCCTTATCCTATGGTATATTATTGTTTTAACAGCAAGTTATTTTTGCATTGAAATTGATCAAATGATTTTTTTTTAAATTCTTTTTATAAAACTAAATCTTTCAACTACAAAATGTTGATTTTTATTGTTTCTATTTTTTGTTTTTTTCACTACAACCATCATGAAAGATAATCATGAGCTATTGTACAACTTGTTTATATTTGCTACCATGACAACTGGCATTATTATTATTATCATGGAAAATAATCATTTTGCAGAAAGAAAATGCAAGAGAATCTGAACTTACAGAATTCATTGACATGTCCCAAAGATTGCATAATTCATCTTGAAGGTCTTCATCAACATCAACTCCAAATTCATTTTCTGTATTTTTTGACTCATTCTGCTTATCAACTTCCTAAAAGAAAAAAAAATCCATTTAAGATTATGTAAATTGTCCCATTCAAACAGATTCACCTTTGAAATGAAATGGCTTTAAAAATGATAAAAAATTCTAATAAGGAATTAAATTCATTTTGATGGTATTTTTCATTGAATGAGCATCAATTCTTGAAGATTTATAAAAATAAATAGAGCAACTTTGAAACTTAAAACCTAAAATAGTCCGAGTAAAATAAAGAAAAAATAAAGAGATGATGTCCTTTAAAACAAGATAATAAAAAACTTTGATTCTGATTTCTCTTTCCAGGGATGACAAAAAGTACTATGAGAAGAAATAAGACATTAGGTGTTAATTTTAATTATTTCTTCAACTTTTAATAAACATCATTACTGTTAGGTTTTTAAAATGCCCCCAACAATATGACATCACTTTGACAAATTAAATTTAAAAGGTCTTCATACCTGAATAAGCTTCATAAGAACAGTAAATAACCATTGTTTACTGAAAGCTGTTCCTTTGATAACATCTGCATCAACCAATTCTTCATATTCTTTAAAACCTGATGGCATTGGTGGGTTCCATCTAAGAGGACTGTCTGAAGCTTAAAAAAAATGAAATTGGCTCATGGCAGACAATTTACTAATTGAAAAGAATCATTAGGCAAAGTTGTGCAATAATAACTACCAAAAATATTTACATGTTCATCTTTTACCAATGAATTGGATTAAGATTGTATTCTGACTGCATACATTTCTCTCTCTGATATTACAATCTATTAAAATAACTAGTCTTTTTTTATTATTTCACACCAAGCAAGGCAATAAAGACACAAGGGGGTTACTAAGTGTGAAAGAATAATATGAGAAAAAATAAACATTATTAAGGAGAGAGAACAATTTTAAATTTTTGAAGATCAAAGTTGATTGGAAAGTGTGAGAAAAGAAACTGTTGAATAATTGTTGGGAGCTTAGTAAAATGCATTAATTACTATTTGACTTCATCTGGTTAAAGTTACATATAAACATCATTGAGATTAAATTTTGGGAAATATTACCTCAACTTTAACCTTTTGTACGATAACCTACCAGTACCACATGTTTGACATTCCTTTGAAATTTATGAATAAAGTATTTAGTTACATTTAAATTATTAATCAGTCTTAGACAGTGAAACTAATTGCTAAGGAGAAGGTAAGTAACATAGCTATATATGAACAGAAGGAAGCTAGTGAAAGATTAAGTAGAGATATTTGCATTGTTAAAAAGTGATATATTCCCCAAATAAAACTTTTGTAGTGGCTAGCATGAGACGTTAAGGCTTTATTAGATGGAAAAGCATAAATTTATGTAATGCTATGACTTCTAATATGTGCATTAGAAAAGATTGTAACAGAAACATGGCCTTCCCTTCCCCAAAACTAGTAATAACTGTTTCCAGCTGATAAAGGAAAGATGTGAATAGAAAGTGAAAAAATGAATGAATGGAGGGAATAAGGAAGAAGTGAATAAATGCAATAGAAAAATTACATATAGCATATTTATATTTCTCTTTTTACTGGTAGAGTTTAGACCTCTTTCACTGATTTTAAAAGCATTTGTTTAACCATTTGTATAATTGTCAAGCATTGTTAGTATTGTATCTTCTTTTTGAGAGATAATATCCATTGAAAATAAGCATATGCAACATGCTGTGAAGTATATATAGAAAGTTATGTGAGAAAAACGGGAAAAAAAAAAACTTCTTGTGACACAAAAACGAACGCCTTCTCTTCCGAACAAACACTTTACGACAGCAAATTAGCAAAACGGCACCCAAGACTGCTGCCGATGGACGACCGACTGCAACGGCTTTTGTCGCCCAAGAAAAGACACCAAACGACTCACACGTCTTCTTGTAGTCCTCAGTCGAGTCTATTATGGTACACCAAGCTGTGCCCGGTGACAACACACACATGCAGTTCGAGGACACTTCCGCGCATGCTCGCTACACTCCTCCCTGATCTCAAGATCACACAAATGGCAATGTGGGGCAGGCCGTTTCTGCCTGGTGCTCCGTCTCAGTGGTATGGTCTCAAGAGCTTCCTCAGTGGTGCTCTTTTCAGACTTCTCACTGAGCTCATCCCACATAGATTCATCAGGTGCGCTACTCTCTGAGATGTGCACAATTCCTACAGAAGGTACTAAAGGAAAGTGAGAAGAAAGGACTAAACATCAATTGAAAGAAGATAGAATGTATGGTTGTCTATAAAAATACCTAAGATAGAAACTACAAATTGAAGACATCAAAATCAAGCAGTTGGAAGTAGTGTTTTGGGAATGAGGGCCACCATTGAGCTGCTTACGAATAATGGCGCAGCGTTTTGTGGAGAGAGGTTTGCCGCTTTTGCAAAGATATGGAATGTATAAATACGATTTCGCTGTGCCCACGTACCATTGGGGAATGGGATAGTTGAAAGATCCCATCGTACAATAAAATGCATTGCGAAGAGAACATTGTGTTTCAGTTAATTGCTTGGTATGGAGTTAAAATATACATTTTTCTCCAAACCTTTACTGACTGGTTGTATTTCCCCTCCCTGGTGACAATATGAAGTCACTAAAGTGCTTGCTCTTATCTCTGCACTAAGTGAAAAGCAAGTCACTAGTGCAGTCCAATGACTGATTGATTTTTTAAAGCTCATCAACTTTTTGCAGGTTATTTAAAGCCAGAAAATATTTTTAGATTTCAAGAATTTTTGTTTTTGAGATAGTAATGATTTACTGATACAAGTAAATCCTACTAATTAGACCATAACTAAGGTGTGAAGAGGTGAATCATACCTTTCTCAAGAGAAATATAACAAACCCAACCGGAATTAGAACTTGGCTCTCCAATTTCCAATTCTGAACTTTTATTTATTACACCACCTGCACATCCAAACTTACAACACCTTGTATTCACAAGCCTTCACCCACCTAGGTACTGACCAAGCTCGACGTTGCTTAACTTTAGTGATCGTAGAAGGACCAGTGCTTCAACGTGATATGGTCATTAGCCTGCAGTCCAAAAATCTGATAAGTCATAGAATTGCTTTTCAGTTGGTCTTCTTCTACTGAATATTAACAGAGGAGCCTGTTTAAGAGCGGACTATTGTCCTCATCTTTGTCGTCATATTAATTACAACATTTCGGCCATTGTACGCTCCGGCCTTCTTCAGGCGGTTGGAATGTCAAACTGAACCCTTTATTTCACTCACTGCAGTAGACTGTTCTAGTTCCACATGCCATGTTTAATGGATGTCAGTTATGTTATATCCTGTTAATTCCCCTTTCCAAGTTCTCCACTGCCTTAACCAGATATTGAACTCACACTCTTTGGGTCCTGTATCTGGATCTAACCAACGCCTTTATTCACTGTGCCATGTGTCCTTAAGGACATCTGTGTATGAATTTCAAGTTCAAGTCTCCCATGATAATTATAACTTCTTGCGATTTGCAATGATCCTTGGCATTGTCTAGCATGGAGTGTTTCCTTTCAGCTTAACTACCAAAATTTTTGGGGGATAATTAGTAGTATCCCAGAATGGATTTCTTGAATTCTTGATCTAGTATCAATCCAATAGTCTGAATAATGTAAATAGTGTACATAATACCTCATCTCATAAATATAGACAGCAGACTATTAATATGGCTTTATACTCTATATGAACCCAGGATTGATATGGTCACATGTAGACCCAAGGTAGAGAAACTTGTTCCTTGGAGATTGGGGGAGGAGACTGCTTCAGATCCACTCTGTGGGAAGCTTGGTTTGTCAAAGAAAGGACTCAACATTGTCATAGATGCAAAGTGCAGATTTAATAAATCTGAGTCTCCCCTTACCTGGCGATTGGCCTAAAAATGTATTCACTCAACAATACAGGCTTCAATGTAGTCAAAGCAGACTTGACTGATTGCAAATGATATATCAGTGGCTGAGAAGAAACAACTAAACATACATCCTTCCATTGTTGTCAGATTTGCCTGCTTACTATATTCATAAAATGACAACTTGCATGGGGCCCCAATGATACATATGGACATATGTGACAAAGTGATCTGAAGTGGAATGGATGGTATTTCACATACTCAGAGTTGTGTCTTGAATAGTATTATGAACACATAATGGGAGGGAATCTAGGAGAATAGTTCCTTTTCTAATATCAATCTGATGACTTTCTTCAATCATTAAAGCTCAGATTTGACAATAAAAAAATAGTGCAGAATTTAGCAAAAGGTGGGTGAAAGTAGAAAGCTTGGTGCATATTGAAGGAGCCAGGACTCACTGGGATTTTCTAGCAGAGATGTGTTGCAGAAAGGTAGAGTTCTTTTCAGATTTCTGATTACGCATGACAACTTGTACCCTTGACAAGAAAAATGAATGGAGCATCTCATTCTATTTTTGTTCAGATCCTTCAATGTTCCCACTCCATATGTAAAATTTTGTTCCCACCCCACATTTCATCTTCAAAAGACCCCATTTTTGCATCCACATTGTTATTTTCACAACCCCACCTCCCTATTAGTGAATGTGTTACTTCTTACTGAAAATGGATTTGTAGTAGTAGGCTTAGTTTAATAAAATAAAAATATTTAAATCCCCTTAAAATTTAAATTATCACTTTATTAACACCAGCACTCTTAAGGATAGGTCTGAAACCAGATACTAAGCAAAACAAAATATCAAAGACCCTGTACCAAAACAAGAGACAATCTAACACACATCACACCCCCTAACCACTTACCAACCTCAATATAAACCCAGAAAAAAGGGCTTCAAGGTCAGTTCTGTTTTCCTCTTCTCAACACCAGCTTAAAGTCAAGTTTAGAGTAGAAAGGAGGCGACTTTCTTCATCGAAGTTCACCGAAAGGTGGTTGAATGCTTCGTGTTTTGTTTGCTTGAGAGGGGCTAATTTAGAGTGGCATCTGAAGGTGACATAGGCTTAAGGATATTAGTCGCCTGACTTAAAACATTTGTCATGTAGGGTTAAGTTAGTGTCAGTCATTTTGATTTTGTTTAATTTGCTTGTTTTTAACTTGGCTAGGGTGTGAATGGTCATTGGCCTCTTTATTTTTGTCCCCCAACTTTTTGGTTCATTCCCCCTTCCCACTCCATTTAGATGAGAGAGTTTGCAGTTCTCTGGTTAAACTGTGGAATGCCTTTCGTTTTCAAATGTGTAATTTCGTTTATTTCCGCAGTATTTTTCGCCCAATTAACTCTTATCTTTGCCATGTTTAGATTGTGGGGAACCGTTTACTAACATTAGTTTTGTTTAGTTGTGTAAATAATCTTATATCATGAACATCAGGGATTCATTGTTTATTAACCCTTCCTCCACACACACAAAAAACTGCATATATGGGGTTTAAGTAGAATTTCCTTGAGTGGATGTGACATTGTGGTGTATGTGTATGGCAGTGTTGTGTGGATGTTTTGGTGAAAGGAACAATATTTGGATGATTGGGTCAGTAAATGAGGCTAGCTAAGTTAAAAGTAAGCCAGTTGAAGACCAGCCTCCCACCATTCCATTTCTGCCCTTGTGGCACATTTGTACAATAAATATCCAGTTCTTTACTCTTTTGCCAGAAACTAGGACAGGCTTTTCCATTCTTCTAACTACCAAGACGCCAAAAAAGACAACTGCCTACTAAAAAGAAGGGGTCTTGTCCTCTCTTGCTCTGTCTGACTTTGTTGCACATGAAGGATACAATTTATATTAATAAAAAAGAAAAAGCTTTCAATGCGTTTATCCATTTTGAATGTAAAAACACATCTTTCGTTATAAAGAACAGTGATCACTCTTCTCCAAAAACAATAGTAGGGAGGGACCCATAATTCCAGTATTCTTTCTTTCTTTCCCCCTCCCCCAAATTTGGAGGTTTCTTCTCCAACAGAACTCACGAAAAATTATACATATGTCATCGTGGAGTATTCAAAGTAGATCCCATACAAAAACTAAAAACTGGTATTTTAGTTAATAATCTGAAAGGTGAAGTGGGGTTTTGTGGTCAATAGAAAAATATAATCTGAACTGAACAGGTCGTTAAAAGAACTAGTTCAAAGTAGGATACAATAATAGCGATTATCAATCTTCTCCTCTCTCATTCGGCTGTGTCTAACAAGTGTTAAAAACTTGTAAATAAACGTTACTATATTGCTGTTGTGACTACTTCCATCGGTACATTATCTCCCTTCGGCTATATATGGATGCTCTTTCCTCGGTAATTAATTAGTTCAACTATCAGACAAACGTTTCTTCTTATTTGGGCATTGTGCCAACAAAGCCAAGCTTAAATAATAAATATCAGGCGTTTATACGTTTTACATCCGTAAAATGGAAGACTACTCTTTCTTGGTAAATTTATAAAATATTCATTATGTATGCAAAAAGTTTGAAAACGTGATTTATTTTTAGTGTCTCACTGGAAAATTTTAAAATCAATACAGTACACCTATTTTTTTTTTCTTTAATAAAGAAAGGAAAAAAATGTTTTTTTCCGCAAGTTTTTTTTTTTTTAATTAGCTTGGTCGTCCGTCCGTTAGCTTCAAGATTTTAAGTGCAAATTAAATACCAGCAATTCACATGGTACGAAGAAGAAGAAGAAGATTAAGACTGTTTTTTGTCGAATTTTGCTGACAACCTTTATTTATGATTTTTTTTTTTTTTAAATTTTATTTTATTAGACACGATTGAGCATTGGGAATTTGTGCACACACTGAAATATTTTGTAAGAAAACTTAACAATTGCATTCTCCGGTCAGGTATAATTACGTCTTTTTATTTTTTTTATCCTATGTTTAAATAATTTTCTTAAAACTCAAGGACTAACAATTTTTTTAGCAGTTATTTTTTAAAGGGAAAAAAAATTGAATTTGAAAGAAAAACAAAAGCCATGATTGAAACATGGAATTAATTAATTGCAATAAAAAGTAAAAACTGCAAACTTTTTAGTTTTTTAATAACAAGGTGTCTGGTGTAAAAAAAATATCTGTGTACTGTAAAAACCTTTTTTATAGGATTGCTAAATCACCAAGAAAAATGTGAGATTTTTAATGGCAAAACAAAATCTCTATTTGTTTTGTTTTAAATTTGTTTTTAAACTAAAAATATTAAATAATCAAACTAATGAAAATGTTTGTTTCGATTAGGATTTGAACAAAAAGTACATGCAAAATCTGCTTTTCTTTTTAAAAGTAGAATATTTTGTAGTGTTATTGGCTATGAGTATGTTAAAAAAAATAAATATAATGAAAATTAACTGAAGGAACATAGCTTAGAGCATAAGAAATGTTTGTTTTGTTTTTAGGTGCTCTAGTCAATGCCTTTTTAATTCGGTTCGACGTAAATTATTAAATTTATATTGGAAGAAGAAACAACTTTTATTTCAAACCAAAACCACTCCATTAACTTAAAAAATCTGCAACATTCAAAATATAAATAATGTAATGTTTTAAAAGTCCTTTCTTTACTTGATATTACATGTTAACATAGTTTATGCATGAAATATCCTTTGCTGTGACAAAAAAATACGAAGTTACCTAAGTTTAAAATTCTTTAAAAGGTCATACTTACAATTAAAAAAAAAACTTTACCTAAATTGAGTTTGTTTCAAATTTATTTGTGCATATCAATATGTTAAAAAAAAAAAAGTACTCACTTTCTTCATACGCTTTTTTTTCTTCCATGATTCCTATTCTGTATTGATTCAAATACTATTGTATCTCTACCGCCATGTACATTATGACCGGTGATAACCAAAAGATTTTCCTCCATTTAGAAGTTCCAGTAACTGTGCTTGTTATAAATTTAATAATTTATTTTTAAAAAATCTACGATAAAATGTGCATTGAGATAACTGACGGGGAGTTTGATTTTTCACTTGGGACTCAGCATTGTGGTAGACTATGACTAGCTTAATGTATATCTCCAGTGAAACAGCAAATAATTATTTTTAAATAAGTGCCTCGGCTTAAAAGCAATTTAGAGAATATTTTATCATGCATGTTATTTGCTGAACTTAGCAGACTTTAAAGTTTTTATGCTTTCAAACATTGAATTCATCAGATATGTTACTTCCCTTTTAAATGAAAATAAAATGCAAATGTCTTGGGGATTGATTGACGGGTTTGCCTTTTTAGAATTTATCAACTCTTTTGGGGAGTTATTTAAAGCTGAAAGATATTTTGGATTGTAAGAATAATTCTTTTTTTTTGTGAGTGAATATTGCATTAATAGTTTTTTTTAGAATAACAATGATTTTTTCAGATACAAGTCTTACTATTTACTAATGTGGAAATGGATTCATACCTTTCCCAATTGTAGTTGTAAGTGCATGTAACAAATAATACTGGAATTTGAATATGTCTCTACCAATTTCTCATTCTGAGCTGTTATTAATAAAAGAAAAAAACCCAAAAAAAAATATTTTTAACCCAAAAAAATAAAAAAACCGATTTTAAAAAAAATTTTTAATTAGGAGCCAATTCAAAGAAAAAAAATAAGTTAAATCCAAGGGGAAAAAAAATTCAAAATCTTAATCCCGGGAATTCCAAACCCAAAAGAAATTTTTTTTTTAAAAAACAAAAACCCCAAAAAGGGGTTAAAAAAAAAATTTTTCCCCATTTAAAAAAACTTTAAAAACTAAAGAAAAAAAAAAAAACAAACTCCACCCATTTTTTTAGCCACCTATTCCCATTTTTTAGACTCTAAACCCCCCGTACTTTTTCTGGGGGGGAAAAAACAATTTAAAAAATTCCCCCAAGGTTTTCGTAATTTTTAAAAATTTTAAAAAAAAGTTGAAAAAACCCCCAAAAATCTTTTGCGTTAACGACTCAGGGAAAACAAAAAAGCCCCCCTTCCAACAAAATTCCACAAAAAAAACTCAAAAAAACC